CAGCATTTTGATGTGTTGACGTCAGGCAGGTAGCACTACTCTAACAGGTGAGGGGTGACTTTGACACTTGATACTATCTTGGTGTTGCCTCTGTTGAAATCACTCACACAGGGGTGCATGAGACCATGGTGTGGCGTATCTATCAAGATGTTAACACGATGTACAAAACTAAATTAGACAGGGAGTTAAAACCTAAACGCGACAGAGAGAGGACTCAGAACACGACTAACTTAAATGTCTACTACTCAAACAGTAAAGGTATGAGAAACTAAACGAATGAAATCAGGGCGTTGATATGTAACGAAAAAATTAATATAATAGCATTCACCGAAACATGGATAAACCTAGACTCAAGTGAGTTACCTGTCGAATGCCAAATTGCAGGTTACAAATTATTACATACCGATAGGCAGATTAGGAAAGGAGGTGGAGTAGCAATCTATGTCAGGGATAATCTGAAGTGTGAAATAAATAAGGAAATAAAAACTGAGCGGAATACAGAAAAAAATTGGCTAGAAAGAAAACTTCATTAGTAATGTCGAGGTAGGGAACGAACTTGCTAACAGCGATCACAGAGAAATTAGATTCCAGTTAGAATTTCATAGCAGACGCAAGGAAAATTCCACTTCAGTCCCAGATTTCAGAAGAGCAACTTTGATAGTTTGAAGAGGCAACTGAGAGAAGGGGTATCACGCTTGGGAGTGAATTACATGACCTCACATGAGGTGACCTCACACAATGTACCCACAGAGGGCGACCTCACCTTACCTGGGGACCTGACGGTTGAGGATGACCTGATATCGAGATCTGAGATCTGAGTTCTACAACAATTTAAATAATGAGTTACTTAATTCACAAAGGCAGAACATAGCATACAGAAAACTCAGATCAAACAACAATGACCCTTAATGGATAAATAATTATTTAAAGAATATTAATGGACAAATGAAGGCTATAAGTAGGAGAATAAATCGTGGTGAAGTTTACCTCCGAGATTATTATAAGGTATTGGCCAGTAGGTTTAAGACCGAGATAAGAAAAGAAAAGAGGAATAATGAACTAAAGATAGCAAGGAAGGCGAAGTGAAACCCCAAGGGATTCTATAAAATGTATCAAACTAAAACACGAGAAAAGATTAGACCAATATGCTCAGATACCGGCGAGCTAACTGATAACGACGGAGAAATGAGCAATAATCTGAATAAATATTTTTCAACAGTTTTCACCACCGAAAATTTAAACATAATACCCGAGGCACCGACTCTATACAGAGATAGTGAAGAAAATAAATTAAGTGAGATAGAAGTGACTAGGAACGATTTTAGTAAGCAAATAAACAAACTAAAGCCTAATAAGTCACCAGGTCCCGATGAGATACTTGCCAGAGTATTAAAGGAATGTAAGGAAGAGCTTAGTATGCCCAAAGCAAAGTTGTTTAACATGTCCTTAATAACGGGTGTAGTACCAGAATTCTGGAGGATAGCGAATGTAATACCGATTTTTAAGAAGGGAGATAGATCACTATCCTCTAATTACCGCCCAATCAGTCTAACATCAATTGTAGGCAAATTACTGGAAGCAATAATTTCAAACTCTATTCGAAATCACCTGGAGAAGCACTAGTTGATCAATGATTGCCAACATGGCTTAACAAGCGGGCGTTCATGTCTAACTAATCTATTAACATTCTTTTCATCAGTTTTCAAAACAGTGGACGAGGGGCACAATTATGATGTGGTATATCTCGACTTTAGCAAAGCCTTAGACAGAGTCCCCCACGAAAGACTAATTAGAAGGTAGAAGCACATCTCATCAAAGGTAATATCCTTAAATGGATTAGGGCGTGGTTACAGGACAGGAAACAGCAAGTGAGCATTAACGGCACTAAATCCGATTGGAGCGACGTCACTAGTGGAGTTCCCCAAGGCTCAAGTACTTGGACCATTATTATTTATTATATACATAAACGACATAGATATCGGCGTAGACAGCAACATAGGTAAATTTGCTTATGACACTAAAATAGGGCGTGTAATTAAATCTGACGAGGACTCCGCAAAACTACAGGATGATCTAGACACATTTTTCGTATGGTCTGAAAAGTGGCAGATGAAATTCATTGTGGACAAATGTAAAGTACTCAGCATAACAGGGAAACCAGATACCAGATAAACAACAATCTTAATCCAAATAAACAATGTGTATTTGCTCGAAACAAGGCTAATAAAGTAATGGGGTTCATACAAAGGAGTGTTAGTTACGAGACTAACGAGGTCATCCTAAAACTATACCTTGAGCTTGTGAGACCTCACTTGGATTATGCAGTTCAATTCTGGTCACCCTATTACAGAATGGATATAGAATCCTTGGAAACAATTCAGAGGAGAATGACGAGATTAATCCTGGACATTAGGAACCTTGACTACAGAGTCAGGTGAAAGCATCTTAATTTCCACTCCCTCGAGACGTAGAGTGAGGAGCGATATGATCGAGGTGTATAAATGGAAGTCAGGGCTGAACAATAGGAACATTACAAAGGTACTCAAACTATCCAACCAGGAGGGAACTCGTAACAATGGTTTTGAATTAGACAAATTTAGATTTAGGCGCAAAATAGGTAACCATTGGTTTGGAAATAGAACATAAGAGCATAAGAACATAAGACAATAAGGAGTCTGCAATAGGCCGGTTGGCCTGTGCATGGCAGCTCCTATCGAGAGTTACTACCACTCTCTATCATCCATGAATATATCCCGCCTCCTTTTGAAACTTCCCAGCGTTCCAGCACTTACTACAAAGTTGATAAGCTTGTTCCACTCGTTCACCACCCTATTTGTAAACCAGTTCCTTCCTATCTCCCTCCTAAACCTAAACTTATCCAACTTAAATCCGTTGTTCCGAGTCCTATCCTGCTCGGATATTATAAGAACTTTATCTATATCACCTTTATTGATTCCTTTCACCCACTTGAATACTTCTATCATAACTCCCCGCACTCTTAATCTTTCTAGGGAATGCAAGTTAAGTTTCTTTAACCTATCCTGATATGGAAGGTTTCTAAGTCCCGGAATCATTTTTGTCATTCTTCGCTGCACCGACTCTAGTGAATTGATATCCATTCTATAATAAGGGCACCAGAACTAAACCGCATAATCGAGGTGCGGCCTGACTAGCGCAAGATATAGTTGCAATAAGACCTCTGCACTCTTATTACTTACACTTCTAGATATAAAACCCAATACTCTGTTTGCCTTATTTCGAACATTAACGCACTGTTTTCTAGGCCGTAGGTCCGGGCTTACAAGCACCCCTAGGTCTCTTTCACAAGTCGACTTCTCTAGGTTGATGTTGTTAAGGCTGTATACATTATAAGTATTTGTTCTTCCAATATTAAGTACGCTGCACTTGCTGGTGTTGAATTTCATTTGCCATTTTTCAGACCACCCCTGCAGTTTATTTAGATCCTCCTGTAATTCATTTGCATCCTGCCCTGAATTAATCTGCCGCCCTAGTTTGGTGTCATCCGCAAACTTGCTTATGTCACTGTCGATCCCAGTATCTAGATCGTTTATGTAGATTATGAACAAGAGTGGGCCTAGTACTGACCCCTGGGGAACCCCACTGGTTACACGACCCCACTCAGATTTAACACCATCTACGCTGACGAGTGGACGAGTGGATCAAGTTACCAAATATCATCATTAACTCGAATAGGCTGGATAGCTTCAAACACAGGTTGGATGGATATATGAGCAATAGGGGCTGGGTGTAAATGGGACTGCCCGCTGCAGTTTCCTCCATTCTTATGTTTTTATGTTCTTATGTAATGGCCCCTAATAACCCTTTCTGAACCTTGCGATGTTAATGGTAGTTGGTAACACTAGTTGACAAGGGTTCGGTAACATGCATCAAATAAGATGCACTTTATTAATTTTGGGTTGCTGATTTTAAATATGACAAAAAAAATATCAGTCACGTAACATTTTTATGATATACTGTTTGTGTATATGTACGGTAGTGTAGGAATATAAGATACGTACAGTACTTGTGTTGGTCGGGATATATTAAAAGCAAAGTTAGCAATACTGATATGGGAGAATGGAAAGAATACAACGCCGAGGATGTGTTAATTCACGAAATTCACCAAATTGAGTATCTTTAAATGTACCGTTGGCAATAAGGTCCGTTCCTTACGGATAAGGAGGCCTCCCCTTACCTACACCACCGGCTATTTTGGAAGAGCTCTCAACTTCGGATGAGTAAATTGAGGAAGAAACCCCAGAATCATCCCATGATCCTCCTTTCATTGACCAGACTTCCAATGAACCACATCTTATAGATCAAAGTAATCTCCGTCTGTCAAAACAGCAGGTGGAACTTTTAGAATCAAGACTGCAGGAATAGAACTTGCTAGCGAAACAGACAAGAATTTCTGTTTTTAGACAAATAAATATTACATTATCTTCATTCTACAGTATGCAGGCGTCCCTTTGTGTGTGTACTGATGTAGATGGACTGATGTCAGAGTTAGGAGAAAAACATGACCCAAAGGAATAGCGGCTTTTCATAGATTCCTCCAAGTTTAGTTTGAAACCAATATTGTTGCATAATGGGCACCAGAATCCCTCAGTTCCAGTAGCGCATCCTGTAGGGTTGAAGGAAACGTATGATAGTATGGAGAAAATACTGACCGCTATTTAATACAAGGAGAATTGATGGCAGATCTGCGGTGATTTGAAGGTTATAGCCCTTCTACTCGGCCTTCAAGGAGGGTTCACGAAATATTGCAGTTTTCTGTGTTTATGGGACAGCAAAGCAACAGAAAAACACATCACAAAGGACTGGGCAAAGAGAGACTAATGAAGAATTTTGTGAAGGCTATGGACAAACAAGGTGATGGGTTCGTGTTCTTGAGGGGAAAATTCCCACAACTCAGTGATGCTGAAGTCAAAGAGGGTATCTTTGTTGACCCACAGATAAGAAAGTTATTCGTGATGACGACTATGAAAACAAACTGAATAAAAATGAGCTAGCTGTATGGAAATCCTTGATATCTGCAGTCAAAGGGTTTCTTGGACACAAGGAGGAAGAAAACTATTGCCAACTTGTAGAGGAACTTATAAGAAAATACAAAAACTTAGGATGTAGGATGTCCCTGAAAGTCCACCTCCGACACTCCCACTTGGACCTTTTTCCTGAGAATCTGTGGGCAGTTAATGATGAACAGGGAGAGCGATTTCATCAGGACATTAGACGTATGGAGGAAAGGTGCCAGGGTAGAGGGGATCCTGCCATGATGGGGGACTATTGCTGGTGTTTACAATCGGAGGACAATGCAACACATAAAAGGATGAAATAAAATAGCAAGTGCCCATACAGTGGCTGATTTAATACTTTTGTGTCTTCTTATGATTGTTTTCATTCTTTATTGAATTTAATATTAGTGTGATGACGTGGAAAAAAAAGTAACAGGAATAACATTAAAAAAAAGTATATTTTAGTTTTTGTATTTGTAAGATTAATTTTTGTGTAACAAATAAACCGTGCGTGCCAGAGAATTTGTTTTGCCAGATGTGAAAACAGCACCTCACAAATAACAAATGGAAGCTGCTCTGAACCATGTAACGGATTTTTTTTTTAATTTGTTGCCTAGTGTAATTGGTGTGAACTCACCTGGGATTAGTGTGGACTCAACTTAGGTTCATGGCTAAGGTATACTCAGCCAAAAGGTTCTTCAAACCCACGTTACTGTCCTCTGAGTAGCTGGCCTAAGGCAGAATTGACACAGTGACCTCTTCATAATAATAATAATAATAATAATAATAATAATAATAATAATAATAATAATAATGATAATAATAATAATAATAACAATAATAATAATAATATTAATAATAATAATAATAATAATAATAATAATAATAATATTAATAATATTAATAATATTAATAATATTAATAATAATAATATTACTAAAATCCTTACACTTAACCCACCTTAGTGTGTGGCCAGAGAGTTGTCACAGGTATCCCATCTAAGGTCCAGGAGATGAGGGGATCGTTGTGCAAGAAGGAGTGCTCACGTAGCTCCGTCAGAGCCTTCCCCGTGGCCTCACACACCAGTCGTAGAGTGGCGCCTGTGTTAAGACGCACCCACCGATCCCCCAGTACCTTCACTCGAATCCCTGTCTCGGGCTCTTCATCTCGTACCGCTGTGACAAGAGTTAGGAGGTGCTTGGTGTTAGTGTGTGTGTTTGAAGAAACTCTCTCTCTCTCTCTCTCTCTCTCTCTCTCTCTCTCTCTCTCTCTCCTACACCGTCCTTCCCTCACTCCCTTAGCTCTCCTCTCTCTCCCTCACTCCTTTCTACCCTTCTCTCCCACCTCAACTCATCCTCCCCTCACCTATTCTCACTCACCTTCACGCTCCCTCTTTCCCTCTCCTACCCTCCCTTTCCTCTCCCACCTCTCTCTTCACTTTTCTAACTTCACTTCTTTCTTCTTCCCTCCTTCCTTCACCCTCACCTTGACTTAACTTTCCTCCCTCACCTTCCCTTCTTCCTTCACCTTCCCCCACCCTTCTTCTCTCACCCTCCCTCCCTCCCTCCTTCACCCTCTCTCTCTTACCCTGCCTCCTTCCCATGCGCTTCCTCCCTTACCCTCCTTCCCTCCCTCTCACACTACCTCCCTTACCGTCCATCCCTCCCTCTCTCTCCCACATTTCTTACCCTTTCTCCCTCCCTCCTTCCCTCCCTTCTACTCTTTGTTCCTCCCTTACCCTCCCTCCTTAGTCACCCTACCCTCCTCCCCAACCCCTTCCCTCCCTCTTACCCTCCTTATCCTCCCTCCTTCCCATGCCTTCCTCTCTTACCCTCCCCCTCCCTCCTTCCGTCACCCTCCTCCCTCACCTTCACCCCACCTCCCTTACCCTCCCTATCTTCCCTCCTTCCCTTCTTCCCTCACCCTCCCTCTCTTACCCCTTCCTTCCTTCCTTCATCCCCCTCTCTCCCTTACCCCCCCTCGCTCTTTTCCTTCACCCTCCCTCCCTCCCTTACCCTCCCTCCCTCCTCCCTTCCCTCCCTCTTTTACCCTCCCTCCCTCTCTCCTTTACCCTCTGTCTCTTTCCCTCCCTCCCTCTCTTACCCTCCCTCCCTCTCTCCCTTACCCTCTGTCTCTTACCCTCCCTCCCTCTCTTACCCTCCCTCCCTCTTTCCCTTACCCTCTGTCTCTTATCCTCCCGCCCTCCTTCCCTCACCCTCCCTCTCTCCCTACCTTCCGGCTGGGACACCACGCCAGTATCCGAAACAGGTATGTCCAGAATAGACGCTTGACCTGTGAGAAGAGATTGAATTGTATCAGTTTTAACATACGAGTAAGTAAATAAAAGTTTTCTTAGTGAGTAAGTGAGTGAGTGAGTCAGTCAGTCACTCAGTCAGTCAGTGAGAATGTGATAGGGTCGTCATAGTGATAACAGAGACAATTAAAGATACTAGTTACACTTAGTCAGTCAGTCAGTCAGCGAATGACTCAGTGAGTGAGTGAGAGGGTCTTCATAGTTATGAGTGAGACAATTAAAGACTTTATTTACACAATATATATTTAAATTGAGATAATTTGAATAATTTAGACAACCTTAACTAACTTAGATAATTTGGATATTTTGCATAATTTATACACAGTAGATTATTTGGTATTTTATATAATCTTCGTTATTTTTTTAAATAATTAAAAATCTAATACCCCACTAACTATGATATTTTAGACTTGAGGATGATAAAATAACCATAGATATTTAGAAATCATACACAGACAATATTTTTTTTATCCAAAATACAAAAAAACAGATTATAGATAGTTTCTAAGTAAAGAAGACAATTAAAAGAACAACAGCAGTAAGATATAAGAGCAGACAAAAACAGATTAAACAAACCAAAAGACTTAGTTATAGGTAAGTTCAATAACCTTGGTCCTTGTGTTTATCTCTCTCTCTCTCTCTCTCTCTCTCTCTCTCTCTCTCTCTCTCTCTCTCTCTCTCTCTCTCTCTCTCTCTCTCTCTCTCTCTATTCCTCCTCCTCAATAATGAAACCTGGATTTAGAAAGCACAGTGGCGCCTGATTTTATATGCCAATTGCCTACCAAAACACCATCATCATCACCATTGGTGGGTACACTCTGGGGCTGTGAGCTGAGTGTGTCCAAGCCCTCGTACTCAAGATCTGGTGGCGTTTGAGTACGTTTAGGGTTTCGTACTCAAGGCCTGGTGATGTTCGAGTGCGTTAAGGGCTTCTGTGCTGGTGTTTGAGTGCGTTTAGAGCTTCTGTGCTGGTGTTTGAGTGCGTTTAGAGCTTCTGTGCTGGTGTTTGAGTGCGTTTAGAGCTTCTGTGCTGGTGTTTGAGTGCGTTTAGAGCTTCTGTGCTGGTGTTTGAGTGCGTTTAGAGATTCGCATTCAAGGCTTGATGGTGTTAGAGTGCGTTCTAGTCCTCGGATTCACTCTAACCCGATAACAACTTCAGTTATCCAGGGACCCGTACTTAAGGTGCACTGGTGATTGAATACTCCTAAAATCTCATACTCAGTGCCTAGCAATGACATGAGTGCTTCTAACCTCTCACTCTAACTCTCTCCTGGTTGTACTCAATCAATCATGGACTCTCGTTAATGGACTACGTACTCTGGGTCTCGTACTAGACCAATAACCAATATACGGAAACATTTTTTTTTTCAAAAATCTCCACTAAAGGATTTGTTTACATCCATTATGAGGAATCTGATTGTCTTTTTTTTTTGGGAGACACTTATATTTCGGATACATCAGTGGCGTATAAAGAAGGAGGGGGGAGGGGGATGACGTGACCAAAGTGTACTGTAAAGGGTAGAGAAGAGGAGGAAGGTTGACCGTAATCAATGGGGGGTTTAAAGTGGTGAGGAGATGAGAAAGGTTGTTATATGAGTGTATATACCAACACTACCAACACCTGAGGTTATTTTTTTTCACCAAAGATGAAGTTTTCTTAAATTTTTACACAATCCTGCAAGAAAAAATGTGTGTAGATTTAATGGTTAAAATTTGTATCTCTTAGTTGGTCAGTTAGAGAATGAGTCAATCAATAAGGGAATCAGGAAGTCAGTTAGTTATCAGTCAGTGAATTATTCTATCAGTGTGGCAGTCAGTCCACCAGTCAGTCAATCAATAAGTGAATCAGTAAGTTAGTCAGTTCAACATTTAGTTAATCACTTCATCAATCAGTCAGACAGTGTACCTGTGTCTGGGAGAACCTTCAGGTGGAACTTGGTGGAGATCTTGGGGTGGATGTTCACTTGACAGTCGTAAGTTCCCTCATCCTTCATGTCTACACCTCTGATCTCCAGCAGCCAATCCTCTGTCTCCTCGGGGTGAACTACCTGTGAGGGAGGAGACGTGTCAACTATCTGTGAACGAGAACCAACTACTGCTAAGAACATAAGAAACAGCAGAGGAAACTGCAGAAAGCCTCTTGTTCCATACTGTATGGGCAACCCCGTTTACACCCAATTCCTATCGCTCATATATCTGTCCCCTTTGTTTATCTTTCCCTTCAAACTCTATAAATTTATTCGAAACTTTTACCATTATATTTCTCTATTATTACTTCAAAATGTATGTCAGAGTTTTCACAAATATATGATAATGATACTAAGGTTGAATAACATCCTTGGTAAAAATTGGAGACGGTTATCATCCGAAGGAGATTATAAAATTATTTCGCATTTTCCATACGTGTTGTTAGGATGATAGTCAGTGATAAAAACGATACGACAACTTTTTCATAGGGCAGTAATTTCATGTCTCCACATACTGTATAGACGAAAAAATCCTTTTTTTACTATAAATATTCCGCCGCTAAATCTCCCGTGGCGCCGACCGTTCTCGTCCGCTCTTAAACTATAATGTTGTGAATCCGGTCTTTATAAATATATAAATATATCAACGGAGCCTTTAATCGGGGGTTCTATTACAATAAAAATTGGCTTCGTTGTCTTTTATTTTGAATTTTAAAGTGATTCACTTTCCTCGCCTTTTGTTTATGGCCTGCGAAAATCTTTTTTCTTTCTGTCTTGCGCACATTGTTTTTGAACTTTTATGTAAAAAGGGTTACATTCATAGAGTTGGATTTTTTTTTAACAGGATTAGCCCACCCGGGCACAGGTCATTGACCCACATCGCGGCCTGGGGGGGCGAAAATGTAATAATAATATTAAAAATTAGTTCATAGTAAATAAAATTATATATAAAAAATAAAAAAATTAAAATTAAATAATAATAATAATAATAACAACAATAACACTAATAATAATAATAATAATAATAATAATAATAATAATAATAATAATAATAATAATAATAATAATAATAATATTAATAATAATAATAATAATATTATTAATAATAATACTAATAACAATAATAATAATAATAATAATATAATAATAATAATAATAATAAAGAACCATAAAGAAATACAAAATGAAAAATGATTAATGGTGAGAAACGATATATGTACATTGTACAGTATGTTGTATTGTCAAAATAAGAGAATCAATTGAGACCCTGCAATTGTGTGTAACCGAGACAGAAAGTCAGTTCAGCAACCATGGACTTGGTCACAGTTTTCGTGTTGCCATATGGCAGCAGGGTTTACCATTAGACAATACATTATGCTTCCAATATCTTCCCAGGCGGGAGTACCTCCCTGTTTGATAGCTGCCCACTATCTACAATATGGGTTTGGATACATTCCCAATTTCTTTCGAGTATCATTGGATTCTAATTGTTTGTTCTATACTTATTGTTCTTCCTCAAGGAGAAACTATCCATCTTGTTTTTCAAAGGCGTAGTTATAGCGTCCTGTTTGGTATCTTATTGTAAGCTATATTTGCATGTGGAGCATCAAGACTGCCTGAAGAGTTCATCTGTCAACATGGACTAGGTGGGAGGACGTGCAACTGTTCAAAATACGGCTTAGAATTTACAGTGAACAAGAATTATTTTTACTCTTATATCCACAAAAACGTAAAATTACACGATACCGCTTCAAGAAAAGTACTTTTATTGGTAATTGATATCATAGTAAGTTCTTTCTGCTTTATCTGCCTGGGGTTCCGGGAGCGGATTCCCCCAGTTAGGAGATTAAATAAGGTCAGGTAGGTTTCGTTGGGTTATATTGGTTAGGTCAGGTTCTGTTAGGTTTTGTGCATTGTCGTTTCCATTTTCTTGTTATTTCTGGTGCTAACTGTCTCCTCCACCATTACCACGTACTGTACATCCTTAAAAGAATCATATACGCTCAAAATTATATGATTGATGGAGTTGTTTTTACATAAATATTTTTGTATACACAGTCATAAATTTCCACTGTGTAACTCAACAAAACAACTTTATTTAACGTACATTCATGGATGTTACTTCTTAGTATCATAACTTATATTTTATAAGGTTTTCATCACTCTTTTACAAGTGAAAATGGTTGATATATAAAAATAATTTTCTCTTCTTACGTCAACCATCTTCTAAAATAAGTCAAGGTGTCACAAGGGGGTCATAACTCAGCCCGCCACTCGCTTTAGCAATTTCTGCGTACTTGAAAATAATCTCCCGGGTCTTGCAATAATCTCCCGACTCTTGGACATATCTATAGGCACTTACCTTTATCTCTATGTGCTTCTATGCCTTGGGCTCTCCCGTCTGTAGCACCGTGTCCTGTCTGTTATATATACTTTATGGTTCACGGTGTAGGGGGAGGGGGGTTGTTCATGCTCGTATTATGAGCCTTTACCAGCGCCTGGCATTTTCTTCTCTACCTGGCGATGACGCACCTGTGATAACTCGGCCAGAAGAACAGTCGCCTTGCTATCTATCTCAGGTGGTTCTTCTTTTAGATACAAACATAAGACTCCATACCCTATACACACTGCCAGCACGGGCACTCGGGAGCGCCTGGCCATCATTACTCCTCCACATCGGTAGGACCTTCTTATAGAAGCTACGCCAGAATGGATATTAATTAATATTCTTGGTCTCTTGAACGATCTCCTGTGCTCATTAATTGCTCCGATACATCTCCACAATCAGCACAAGTTATTATTTTTCTCAGTCGTAAGGCTTTAAGTCATCTATTAACATGTAAACCTGTCTGACCTGAACTCTCCCCGTAAAACAAATGATTGAAGTCACCATCTGATGTAGAGAACTCTCAAGACATCTTGAAGGAGTAGTGAATGGTAATTAAACGTGGATAGATAAATAGGAGAATATATGAATTGAGATAGAAAACAGGGGAAAAGATAGATTGATAGGAAGGCAGAAGTATTAGAAAATATTCAATTAAAAGTCTATTGTGGGGATCTACTTTAAGAGTCTACCATAAGAATCTACCTCATGATTCTTACCGAGAATCTGGAATCCGTGGTGACTGTCAGCTGGTCAACTGCCAACACTGTTAAATCTCTCGTCCTGATCCACGACACCTGTAACAAGAGGACAGGTGTTGTAATTACGATCCTTCACACCTGTTATTGATCCAGCACACCTTTTGAACTCTCTGAAGCAGATGATGATGATTTCTTGTCGATACTCTCTCTCTCTCTCTCTCTCTCTCTCTCTCTCTCTCTCTCTCTCTCTCTCTCTCTCTCTCTCTCTCTCTCTCTCTCTCTGGACATCTTAGAGCAGGTGAAGCAGCAGTAGTCGTATATGCTGTAGACACCCCACGCGCCTTCTTCTCGTTGTTGGGAAAACAGTTATTTCTGGGAGGGAGGGGGGATAAGAGGAGGGAGGAGGAAGGGAGAGGAGGAGGAGGGAGGGAGGGACACAAAACCGATCAAGCAAGACCCTGATGGTACGTAAAGAGAGGAAATGATCAATATATCCAGGACTTTAGCAGAGTTACGCCAACTTACTGTACCGAGTTCCTGTTTTTACGTGTTTCTGTTGTGCAGTTCAACAACTAACGTCTTTAAGCATTTAAAGCAATTCAGTTTATACAGAAGACAACTACAATTAAGATATTTTATTTTTTATGTACTTTGGGGCAGCTAAGCTTGAGTTTGAGATTATTTTTTTTAAGATTCTTACGTTCAAATTCCTACATCAATACAAAGGCATATATGCCTACATATAAGCTTGCACACACATAAACAAACTAACACACACACACACAGACACACCAAGCACTAGCAAGGTTTGGCAGTGCACTACTGCACCATCCTAGTCATCGCCACCTCCTGCCACCGGCGGTCCCCCGCCCACCTCGCGCAGTCCGCCACTACAACAAAATTCAGCCCATAAGAGCCGGCACAGATAGATATAAGAATAGCACTGTCCCATCTATTGTTAAAATAATAAAGAACTCCTGAATTTTGTACTGTACAGCCCTGGAAATGTATTGAACGCATATCATTATGTCTAAATCACATGTAAGTTTGCATATTTTCAACCACCGGCTGCAACTCTATTAATACACCGTTTATTATTATTATTATTATTATTACATACACACACACACACAAACACACACACACATATAATCAATATAGCCATCAATGTAAGTAGTAGGTAGTAGGCAGCTACCAATCAGGGAGGTACTACCGTCTGGGAAGACATTGGAAGCATAATGTGTTGTTTAATGGTAGACCCTGCTGCCATGTGGCTTCAGGAAAATTGTGACCAAGTCCCAGGTTGTTGATCTGATTTCTACCTCATTTACACACAATTGCAGGGTCTCAATTGTTTCTCTGACTATTTACAACATATCATGCATATATTGTTTCTCAATTTTTCTTTTTTTTTCATATTTGTATTATTATTTTTATCATTATTAGTGTTATTAATATTTTAGTTATTATTATTGAATTATTTTTCTTTTTAATTTTGTAGTTTTTATTGCAAATTTTATTTATGAATTATTATTATTATTATTATTATTATTATTATTATTATTATTATTATTATTATTATTATTAATATTATTATTATTTATTATTATTATTATTATTATTATTATTATTATTATTATTATTATTATTATTATTATTAATATTATTAATATTAAAATTATTATTATTATTATTATTATTATTATTATTATTATTATTATTATTATTATTATTATTATTATTATTATTATTATTATCATTATTATTATTATTATTATTATTATTATTATTATTATTATTATTATTATTACCTTTTTGCCCCCAGGCCCAGATGTGGGTCAGTGACCTGTGCCCGGGTGGGCTAATCCCTGTAAAAAATCCTGGAATTGCGACAGGTGTCATTTCTTGCCTTACAGACTTCATTAGCGAGAGCCGTCAAGTTGAACGCTACCGAGAGCCCGTCTCTACCTCACGCCCCTCACCTGCGTCGTCCTCCAGGCCACTAGGATGACCCCTCTTATCCTCAATATCGATGCTGTGATGGACACTTCAGCTCGTTGGGAGCATGGAAATGACTTTACCGTTGATTACGCCTTTCAGAACAGCCATCCATATCACCACCAACTATACCAAGCCCATGTATATGTACCATAAGACGAATATATCACCCAAGGGTTGAGCCATTCCACACGCGCATGTGTGGAGCCTTTAAACAGTTGGCAGGCCTGTGCAACCTTAAAAAAGGGGCCACCAGTGACACCATTCACTGTGTTGGGTAGTCAGGTTTCATTTTACTTCCACCAAAGATGGGAAGATACTTCAATCTCTCATCATATCTATTATAAGTTACACATTTTTTTTTGTCATTTGTACAAACTTTTAGGTTTTGGTGTGATTTTAAATTAGGAGCTAATTCTCGTCACTCATCAATACTACTACTACTACTACTACTACTACACACACACACACACACACCATAATCAACTCCCTTGTGTCTGTTTATCATATGATTGTCATGATAACCTCGTGCCTGTTATATTAACCGTATCCCTGTCATTTAACCGCTTACCTGTCATGTTAACTGCTTCCCTGTCATGTTAACAGCTTCCCAGTCATGTTAACTGCTTCCCTGTCATGTTAACCGCTTTCCTGTTGTATTAACCGCATCCCTGTCATTTAACCGTTTTCCTGTCATGTTACCCGCTTCCCTGTCATGTTAACCGCTTCCCTATTATGTTAACCGTTTCCCTATTATGTTAACCGTTTCCCTGTCATGTTAATTGCCTCCCTTACGTGTTAACCACGTCCCTGTTATGTTAACCGCTTCTTCTCATGCTAACTGTTCCCCGGTCATGTTAACCGCTTCCCTGTCATGTTAATTGCCACTCTAATGTGTTAAAGGCTTATCTCTCGTGTTAAGCTCTTCACTACAACGCGTTAACCCACCTCTTCGTTCTGTTATCCCCTGTTGATCCCGTTAACTCTCTCCTTGTGTTAATTCATTCCCAGTCATGTTAACCGCCCCCACTTCCGTTAATTCACTCACCATCACATTAGTGCATCTCCTGGTCGGTAGCCCCCTCCCCCAGTTTACGTTAACCCCTTTAACCCCGTCCCACTCGTGTTAACTGCTTTCTTGTTGCAATTACATTCTCCTAATCGCGTTAACCACCTCTTCGTCGCGTTAACCGCTTTCCCTTTCCCTGTCATGTTAACCCCCTTACATTCGAGTTAAACTCCTTCCACTACCCCCCACATAGGCAGGTGATGTAACTGCTGTGTTTTGTCGACAGCTGAGAAGTTAATCACGAAGTGAGAGAGAGAGAGAGAGAGAGAGAGAGAGACCGATAATTTAGACTTTTTAATATTCTCTCTCTCTCTCTCTCTCTCTTGGTAACTGAAACTCTCACACTATCTCTCCATCCCTCTGGTGGTGGCGGCAGCTAACTCATACCCGGGTCATGTATACATCTCTGTGCGTAATGTCTCGCCGTCTCGCCCACGTTTGATCCCGGGAATGATAGTGTCTCATATCTCAACCTGTGGCTCACCTGAGAGACGCCACCTGCTCCGTTGAGACGTGAGAGAGAAAGAGAAAGTTTAATTTACCAGGAGAGAGAGAGAGAGAGAGAGAGAGAGAGAGAGAGGGAGGGAGAGATTACGAGTTTCAATTATCAGGAGAGACAGAGACAGAGAAACTAGCAATAATCATCTCCTTCCCCTCCTCTTCCTCCTCCTAGTCTCCTCCCCCTCTTCCTCCCCTCCTCCTTTTAAAACAATTACCACCTGGCACCATCTATGCGCCATGACAGACCCAGCTGGATTGTGTCTTGACATGACAGGACCTCACACACACACACACAAACACATCTCTACTATAAAACTCTCGGACGTGAAATATTTTTTCTTAAGATAAAAAATGAATTGTTCATCATTGATTGTTAGTGTAAAATCGACTTCAATTAGGTTAAATTGGTTTAAGTAAGGTTATGAAAGGTCAGGTTAGATTAGTATTGGGCCTACTCCACCGCCGCTTAGCATCACTGCTCGCGTGGCACCTACCGAGCCTGCCCCGGTGTGCCCGGCTGCACCCCGTCCACCCACAGCAAGCCGCACCTGCTCATGGACCCGAGGACACCACCCCCGGCTCCCCGTCCCCCACCGGCATGCCGGCACCTGGGGCCCATCCACTCCAGTTCTCCACATCAATTGACCACCATGAGGACATGCTAGTGAACTACGTATCTACGCCAAGAAGGACGTCCCCTACCAACCTCTCGACGTCCCCCTTGAAGCCGACACCACCGACGTACACGCCATCACAATCACACTAAAAGGTATGGCCCTCAATATTGTCAATGCCTAAGGCTATGGCCTGGCACTTGACATTATGTGGGACCTGCCACGCTTTGCCACAAATAGATAAATTGTACCGGGAATTATCCACCCACACACTCATCATTCTGTCACTTTATGTAACTTGCTGACAAAACCCATGACCCTTCAGGCTTTTACGCCCTTAATGCATGAGTCATAAAGGCAAGCATGAACTCCTTATGGTTCCCAGATGGGCACTGTAAACGTTTCTGCACTTCACCTTGCACAGGATGTAAGGGGGTGCCCAATAAACTAGCCCCCTCGGGGGCAATCTAAAAAATTTAAATCTTTGTAAAAAAGATGTTCATTTCTTGCAGAAAGCACCAAATCTTGCACACTGGGGTTTTCAAGAGTGCTAAATTCAATGCAAAAGGTAGATATTGGCTACAATAAAGTTTACCTTTAAGAAAAAGGGGTAAGTAAAATTGTTCTAAGTTATGTATTGGTTGGGTTTTTTCTACCTCACACTGACATCAAGTCAGACGGGTTTCTTTGGTGCTGAATGCAATGACCATGGCCATAGCAAAATTCTCATTCAGGAACGAATACAGATATTCTTGCTGCAATTGTAACGGTAAGTGTTCTTCGAGATTGTAAATTTTGGGTTGGTTTCAGCCATAGAAGAACATTTAGTAACATAGCAACATATAGTATGGCATCTATCCCTGGTCCAACGAAGTCAAATGGCTTGTTATTCCTTCATGCTGTATCGGGTTGTG